AAAACACAGCTACTTAGATGGGCTGGACACATAATACGAATGCCAGAAAATACCATTGCTAAAAAGCTAACCACAGGAACACCTGTAGGAAAAAGAAGTAAAGGCCGACCGCGAATTAGGTGGTTAGATGGAGTAGAAACCGACTTACGAATATTAAAAATCAGAAGATGGCAACATGTTGCCAAAAACCGAACAGAATGGCGACGAATCTTAGAGCAGGCCAAGATCCACAGAGGATTGTCGAGCCAAAGATGATGATGATGATAGGCCCTTTAACACAGAAAAAATAAAACGCTCAATGTCTGGTCTATTACTGAGAAACACTGAGAGACAAGAAATAAGAAGATACGTAGAAAGGGTTACACAAGCTAGAAGAACAATTGGCTGCCTAAATGGAATACTTTGGAGCTCTGAAATAGGAATAAAGCGAAAATATAACATCTATGAGTCACTAATTAAAAGCAGTCTACTTTATGGAGCAGAAACTTGGAGAATAACCGAGAACAACAGAAAAAAATTAGAAGCTGTAGAAATGGATGTGTTTAGAAGATCGTTAGGTATATCCCGCAGGGAAAGAGTTCGAAATGAGGAAGTAAGACGAAGAATTGGAATAGATGGTTACTTAACAACAGACATTGAGAGGAAACAGTTGATTTGGTATGGTCATGTTCAAAGAATGGAAGACACAAGACTACCCAAGAAGATTATGCAGTGGGTACCACCAAACCGCAAAAAACGAGGAAGACCCAAAAAGACATGGAAAGAAGGGGTAACTAAAGCAATGAGTACAAGAGATCTTAGAGACGGCCAATGGGATGATAGAAGGACGTGGAAGTTAGGCATCGGACAACGTCGAAAGACGTTCTAAAACCGATATATATATATATATACGTAGAAAGTCTATGGTTGATGATGTTCTAGGAAGCATTACAAGACTTCAATGGAGTTAAGTAGGACATGTAGTAGAACTAAGGGATGGACAAGAAATATATTGAAATTTAAACCAAGATATAATAAATGAAGCTAAGCCAAAACTGGCAGAGTTTTTCACAATAGATAGAACACGACTTCAACGGAACACAAAAAGAAATATGGATAACGATAAGAGGAGAAAAAAAAAATAAATGAACGAACTTATAAAAGTAAAACACATTCAGACTTAAACACGGGCAGACATCTTTCGATTCATATCTGCTAAAGGCAACGATAATGAATCACAAACACCGCAAGTGACGACAAACGAAGAAATAAATATTGAGGAGGAAGAGGTAAAGGAAGTATTAAGGACATTAAAAAATAGAAAATCACCAAGAAAGGATAAAATACCGAATGAACTAAAGGACGGAAGGCAAGATCTGATCAGTTAACTAGTACAACTAATCCAAAAAATAATAGAACAAAACCAAATACCACAAGCATAAAGATCACCTAATACCCCTCTTCAAAAAGGAAGACAAATCGGACCTAAAAATTACAAAGGAATTATTTTTTTATTCACAACACTAAAATTAACAACCAAAGTGATTGTTACAACAAATGTGAACAAATAAACTGAATGAAATTATAACACTAGCAGAAGAACAACAAGGTTTTAGGTCGGGAAGATCATGCATTAACGCCATATTTATAATGAGACAAGTACAAGAGAAATTAAAAGAATACAGCATACCGGCATGTCTATGTTTCGTGTACCTTAAGAAGGCATTTCCTTCTTAAGGAACCGGGTCAAAATAAAAGACGTTATCCACTTACTGTACCAAAATAGATACCTCTAGGAATAATCAAAACGATCAAAAATATCTACCACATACCTGGATCAAATATTCCGTGGATTCCGCATTTAGCCCTTCGACTTTGATTTTTGGGTTTATGCTGGCGTCGCTTTATTGGGTGGGAAGTATGTCAGGATGATTCTTATTTTACATAACACTAGGCTATGGTCGCTACCTACATCTGCTGAGTTGAGGCATCTTACATCGATTTATATTTATAAAGGAAGAAATAAATTACGTGGTATTTGTAATATTCCTACTATTCTATATAAAAAAGTAAGCATTATCTTTTTTGTTACATTCTAGTAAACATTAATTGCACAGAACTGACTCTACTTTTTTTATGTGCTTCAGCAACAAATTTTTTTGTTTCAAAACAAAAGACCTGTTATCGTTTTCGTTTTCTTCTTGTATTGGGCCAACTAGCTGTTCTACAACAAAAATACTTAGTTTTGTTTTTTTTTTGCTTAAAAATGGCTGGCCAATAATTAGCCAGACTTGTTTGTGTTTATTATTAAAATTAACTGAATTTTAGTTATTATTAATTGCAGATTCATAGTGAAAATTTTCTTGTTATTAGTTATCAATGTTAGTACTACATATATCTAATATTTTTATGGATACATAAATTCTTGATTTGTTAGTTTTGTTTTCTTTTATTTTTTTTTGTTTTGTTGCTTTTTTTTGTTTTTTTTTTGTTTCTTGCATTTTTTGTTTGTTTTTGTATTTATTTTTTTGGTTTTTGTTTCATTTCTATTTTCATAATTCTTTTATAGTTAGTTTTGTTCGATAGTCGAATATCATATATGTATATGTTGTTTCTGGACATTAATAGGCACGTTAGATTCAACTATGATAAAGTGTCTGGTTTATTCTTCTAACAAGATTGATTATTAGACTTAAACATTATAACACATATTACAAAAAATATTTTTTATTATATGTTATAATTTCCAAGTTTAATGAGCAGATGACAGATCCAAAACCCAACAAAGATCAACTTTCTTTACAAAGAAATTTAAAATAAATGTAGTTTAAATTTTAGAAACTATTAATTGTACCTGTGACAGTCAATTATGTGTTAAAATGCATAAATCCAAAAAATATTACTGACTAGCAATTGTGTGTTAGTTCAGAAACACCTAACATTTCTGTATAGTTGTAGCTTTTCACATTTCATTCTAGGCAAAGGAATCTAGTAGGTACAAAATGGACTCTTAGAATTATTATTAATTGCCAAATAGATAGATACATTATACTATTAGGCTTTACAAAAAGTAGTTTCTTTAGGAGAATGCTTCGTAAGAACTTTGCTTTGGATGCAAAAGCCTTGAAGTTTATATACATAAAACTACTCTTTTCAAAACTATTTACCTGTCCTATTTTTACAATTAGTCCATTTAATAGATTGGCTATAGTATATCTCAGTTTTTATTAGGCTCTAGACTTAGTACTACTCTTAGAAGGGGGTAAAGAAACCTGAAAATATTTATTTAACTCGAAAGATATATTAAAGACAGCCTGTAGTATGCGTAGTTGCCAAATAATGCAAACCTATAGTATAGTTTATGTCTAATACAAAAACTAGAGAATTATATATGTAGCCATAGAATTTGAATTGTTAGAATTATTCGTTTAATATTTACACTATTTTTTTTTTTTTTAAATAGGTAATATTTGTTTTAAGCTTGTCTCATGTCTCTATGCAACAATTATCTTATTATATATACCTATAGGGGTCCTAGGGTCTGTCACATCCTGCATTTCGATCTCCACCTCTTTCAATCGTTTCACTCCTCGATATTTATAGCTCTATGTCTTATTATTCCTCTGATTCGTTTCCTCCATTCTAATGTTGGTATTTGTCTCCTTTTTCTATTCTAGTACCCTGATTCTCCCATTGTAATTTCCTCATAACGTCTTCCAAAGCTTGATTAAAAAGTTTGGGTAATATAGTGTCACCCTGTCTGACTCCTCGCCGTATCTTAATAGGCGCCGTTTGTTTAACTATTTTAATGGATGTTGTTGCTTGATCGTATATGTTGAAAATTAAGTCCGTATATCTCTAGTCTATTTTTCCATTTTATAAAGAGTTCTTTACTGCCTAATATTCCACCTTATCGAATGCTTTTTCAAAGTCTACAAATGTCATATTAATTGGGATTTGATATTCGTTGGCCTTATCAAGTAATATTTTTATCGTAAGCGGATGGTCGCTTGTACTGAATCCTTTTCTAAAACTGGCTTGCTCTAGTTACTGGTTAATCTAACTTAGTTATTAATCTGTTTGTTAGTAGTCTAGTTAACAGTTTGTACATTACATTAAGTAGCGTTATGGGCCTATAATTTTTCAGATCTTTTCTATCGCCTTTTTTAACTAGTAATAGTGTTATTGCCTCGTTCCATGTGGTGGGTATTTGTTTTGTGTTCAATATTTTATTCATTGGTACATAAAAGATTGTAAATTTACCCCCTCTTTTATGCATTTCTAGCTTTCTCAAATAGGTTATATATCATCAAATAAGTGACATTTTAAATCGTTTTATCGTGCTTAGCATTATGTAAAAATGTATATTGTAGATTGAGCTATTTTAAGAAAAGTAAGGTTAGATCAAAGCAGGACCAAATCAAATTCTGGAAAAATTAACGCTAACATTTACTAAAAACATTAGAAGATGATACATTTAATGTACTAACGCTCTTGCAAGTAGACTCTAACATTTCAAGCATAACATAAGTAATTGGCTGGCGTAAATTATTTATGTTTGACATCCAACTGCTGTTTCAAATACAACAAAAATAATTAATCAATACAAAAAATTTTGATACAAAAGTCTGAACTGTTATAAGTTAGAATCAATAGATGAATGGCTCAATATGTTATTTTGCCAATGTGTAGTAAACAATCATTATTTAAGTGAGTAAACGTGTTAATGAAACGGAATCTTACATTTAAAGGTCACTTAAGGGCAAAAAAGATATAACAATAAAATGGATAATACTGTTTTTAATTAAATGAATAATACTGAACAATTTCTGGTTTTATTAAATGGACTAAAACGTAGATAGTTAATGAATGCTTACTTTGATTCTTACTTTATATCATAACGTAGTTAAATATATATTACTTGCAGTTATATTCCCATTTTTTATATTATTGAACAACAAACATTAAATCTAATATAAAAAAAATATTGTTAATGTTTATTTTCCTGTTATAATTTTCAGTACTCAGTCAACGGCAATGACGAAGCTAAAGATAACCACGATCAGCAGATAGAACGTGCAGAAATAGCCAATTTGGTAAGATCAAGAATGGAAAGCTTAAATTTACCAACCATCGACTACAATGACGTAAGCGAGAAAAGAAATAGTCTTTCTTACGTCATTATTAATCCTAGTTGCGATCTTAAATTAGAAGAAGGAGATATAATGTAAGTATAAGCGAATAATTCTGTTGATATTTAAAAAAAATTATTTTGAGGATTATATAAAAAGGACATAATTCGTCTTCTTCTTTTTGGTATAAAACTTTTAAAATTAAACGTCCTAATTCCAACTGATTGTTTCTCTAGACACTCTATGCTAGGGGTTTCCAAATTGTGGGTCGCATGCCTCCTGGGGAGCGTAAGGACATATCAGGGGGTAGTCTTTAATTTAGGTAGTCTTTCGAAAATTTTAAATTAACCATGATGTTTAGAAAATTAAAACCAACCACTGTAACATCTGACTTTACAAATACATTTGAAATTGATTGCTTGAAAGAATAGAATGTTAGCCGTTCAATGTGGCAATAGCGCGCATGTGACAACCGAGTTTTTTCAAGCACTGCCTCTCTTCTTCCCTCCCTACACCATAGACCAGCTAATCGCAGCTAATGAATTGTGACTCAGTGTTTGAGATACCATGGCTTAGCCTGCACAAATTTTGATTGTTGTAGTTGACTTTTATTGATTCTTTTGATTTGAAAGACATTTGTCATCCAAACATAACTCTTTTAAGAACAAAATAAAAGGAAATGTTTGCTACAAAATCTGAATATTTAAAACCCGTGAAGTTGGATAGTACTCTTTCTACAGCTCAGATATCTGAAAACGTGCTTGAAGCTTTATATGAGCTATCACTTTTGATTGATCAAGAAAAGAAGAGCCATATTATTTGAGATACGCTTGTTTAACCGTGTTTATTAAGAACAGCTGATATTATTCTTGGAACGCAGAGTAAGCAAAAGTTATATTAAATCCTTTGACAATACTGTGAAACCTCGCATTAATAATATGGCCAAATACATACAAAACTTGGTAGCTGATGCAGTAAATTTTTTGCTATTTAGCTAGATGAGAGTACAGACATAGCACAATGTTCTCAGTTAAATGTTTATGCTTGGTATATTTAAAATGAAAGAATGAAAGACAAACTATTTTTTCTACAGAGTTGAAGACCACGACAAAAGCTATTGATGTTATGAAAGCAGTGTTAGACTTTTTTGACAAATATGAGCTCTTAGTAAAAACTGATCGGTGTATGTACGGATGGTATGCCTGCAATGCTTGGTTCTCGCTCAGGATTTGTCATCATCATTATCATCATCATTCAGCCTCTATTTATCACGTCCACTGCTGGACATAGGCCTCCCTTAAACTCCTCTATTCCTCACGATTTTGTGCTCTTTGTTGCCAATTTTTAGTGATACGCCTGATGTCGTCGGCCCAACGTGTAGGTGGTCTTCCTCTACTGCGTTTGTCTGCTCTTGGCCTCCAATTTGTAATTTTGCTCGTCCATCGTGAATCGTGCATTCTCGCTACATGGCCTGCCCAGTTCCATTTTAGTTCCGCTATGCGTTCCACAACATCAGTAATACTCGTCCTTCTTCGCAGATCTTCGTTTCTTATTCGGTCCCTCAACGTCACTCCCAGCATAGACCATTCCATTCGTCTCTGTGCCACTCGCAGTTTCGAAGCCGTGGTCTTGGTTAAAGTCATAGTTTCCGCCCCATAGGTCATGACCGGTAATACGCATTGGACTGTGGGACCGGAGGGACTGAGAACTGAGTAGGGGTCCTTCAGCACTTTACGCAAGACAGACTGGGCGGGGAAGTCCTCAAACCCGACACGGCGCGTCCCAATGGCTGATAGGGAACGATCATGTAGATATGCAGGACAGGTATGAATAAGGCTTAGCCAAATAAATACCCGCGGATCAACTGAGGACATGACACAGGTCAGCAGCTGTGTTATTAGTGGCCCGTGGCTGAGGAATAAAATTCCTGACAGGTGCGAAACCACAGAGTCGCAGGCGGCAATCAAGTAGATTTAACCAGCTGTGATACTGCGAACACTCACCAACCCGTCTGGCAAGCGTGGTGTTTTAATGCCAATATACCCCTTAAAAACGCGGTGTTCTTTTTTTTTAAACAAATACACCTCAAAAGAAAAGTGTTTGACCAATGCGTATTACCGGCGTATTACAGGATTTGTACAATTAATAAAAGAGAACAATGCTGATGTAACTGGGATACATTGTGTTATATATACATCGACAAGCCTTGGTAGCAAAAACTCTTTTAAATGAATTGAGTGCTGTCTTGAAGTTGTGTATTAAAGCCGTGAATTACAGAACAAACATTGCGTTGAATACTCGATTATTTAAAACTCTTTGTAAAGATTTAGGGAGTCATCGCAAAACACTGCTATTTCATACAGAAATACGATGGCTCTCAAAAGGAAACAGGTTGGCAAGATTATTTGACCTTCAAGATAAAGTAATCACCTTCTTGGAATATTATTGTATCTTAAATAAATAAATGTTTTGTTTTCTATGTAATACTTATTTATTTTTGTTTGGTTCCTAGGCCCATACAATTTAGTGTTAAGGGGTGGTGGCGCGAGAAATTTAAATAAATAAATAAATGTTTTTTTTTTCGTTGTAATACTTATTTGTTTTTGTTTTGTTCCTAGGCCCATAGAATTTATTGTTAAGAGATGGGGGTACGAGAAACTATTATTTTAACAAAAGGGGGCGTAGTACAAAAAAGTTTGGGAACCCCTGCCCTAGGCTACGGGAATAACTTCTAAAGAAATGCCCAGTTACTGAGTGAATCGGTCAGATTATGAATCGAATAACATAAGAATATTATGTCAACAAACTTCCTTAAATGAACATATTAAATGATATATCAAACGAATTATCTTAAGTGTTTTATACTTTTGCATCATACTTAACTAAATACATAATTTTAATTAACCCTGTAGAAACAAATATTTGAAAAATATATAGTTGCAAAGCCGATTAGGAGACCTTTCAAATGAGATGTCCAGTGACCTCGGTTTGTATTTAAAAAATTGTCAATTACGTCATAATGCAACACTGATGACGTAATTCCAGCACATATATAGAAATTGGAGTCCATATAAAAACTAAAATTAACGTGTTTAGGATGTTTTTTAAAGTCGTATGTTTCTGAAATAATAAATTGGCCTTTTTGTCATGAAATGCAATTGATATTAGCCTTTGATCAATACCTAAGGGCCCGGTGGAGTTATTACTAGATCAGTACTCTGGTAGAACTCGATTCTCTGTCAATATCTACCTGTGCCGGTGTTCCATCTCCACAGCGATTGTATGCCATCGTTAGAAACTAAAAAAGTATTTACTGTCTGTGCGATTTTATTTATTCTGATGGTAAATGGTATTAAATAATGTTTTTATTTTTATAAATATAGATCCTTATGTTAAAAATATTTTAAAATTATTCATGTTGATTTTTTCAGATACCTAGTACGTCCAAGTCCTTTCTCCGCACAAAAGACCTTCGAGAGGCACAACAGCAGAAGAAAATCAAACATAAGTTTCTGTTCTCAAACTCTGCTCGCACAAATGGCAACGAGCTCTCAAGCCGGAAGTCGACGTGGATCAGGTCTGGGCCTCAGCGGTTACCAATCGCCTAGGCCTCCACCTCTAGCAACGACAAAATCAAACTCTTTATCTTTACCGGACAGCCCAACGGTCGCGGGTTACCAAAGGGGTCGATCGAATAGTTTGCGTGTAATCGACGATATTCTACTGCGCAGATCGAATTCTTTACGACAAGGACTGCCGAATATCGGTAACTCTCGAAGAAAAAGTAGTTTAGAGGACATCGGCTTGAGCCATTTTAGTACGAATTATTCTAACACTATAAAGATTGCCTTGAACGGTAGTATCGGTTTGGAAGTGACTCCGCCGGAAGAGAACAGTCCTCCGGTGATCAGCAGCAATACGGCACTAATAGTGAACCCATCCTTACCTCCGCTAGCTCCATCGGTTCTCACCGGTAGCACGCTGAGTCTCACCCAAAGCGGCCTACCAGGATCGAGCGGCTCGGTGCCTATCAACATGGGTTTCGGTGGCTACGGAGAGGCGGGAGCTTCCCAGCAAGCTGCGCTTCCCACGCCGGCCACGGATCCGCAACACCTTCAAGGGACGATAGTATGATACAACCTCATGTGGGGGAGAAGAATGGGTAGCTTGAGAAACAAGTGGCTCTAAATCTTCTCGCTTCCACAGTAGGGACTCTGCGACTCTATAGAAAGTGTAGTGAAGAGCGTGGAGTTAAATTTTATTGTGATAGCAGTACTAGTTGAGAAATTAGGTGTTGTATGATACTAAAATGTATATGAAGGAATTGCTAAAATGGTTTTTCTAAAATATAATAAAACAAAGTATTTTTTCATAGTTTTTTCAAATGTTATAATTTATTAACAAAAAATTAATAATACAAAAGTAGGTAATGTAGTATAAAATAATTTAAATCCACTGGAGTATTTTATTAATTTTTTTAATATATCTAAGAAATTCTACACAGTATAGAAATGTTGCATATATTATGCGAGAAATTAATTTACCATGTCCCAAAAAAATTTCTAAACAGATGTAAAGGCTATTAAAAATGTATGTAAGCATTACCTTTTATGTAAATGATTTTATATTGTTTCAGTCGAGTTCCTGGTATTATTTTTTTTATTGCTTTACTGATATTAGTTCCCAGTGTATTCTGGTTTTGCTTACTTTTATCTATTTGAAAATTATTATTAGTTCTTGCAGCACTTGGTGGTCACTTTTCCTTTATTAATATGATAATATTATATGTTATACCATTTTAAATGTTGTTTTTCTATATTTACAATACTTGGTCTTCTTTTTCTATTATTTTTCAAAGTTTTTCATATACTCCGTTGACTAATTAGGTTGGCTGTTGAGGTAATTTAATAAAAAATGTAGTTATACCATGTGTAGGGTTATTTTCATTTTACAATTTGAAATTCAATAACCGATAAACTTTAATATTTGACTAGGTAGTCTGGTAATGCAAGTAAGCTGTGGAGTAACATTGTACTTTGCTTGAATTGTTAACGATATTGCTTAGATATAATGCATATAAAAAGCATTGAAGCCTCAAATGTCCCAAAAATACTTTTAAGCCATAATAAAAATAATGTTTTGCTTTGACATAACAAAGAAAGTATTAAAATGATAACAGCTACTGAGGTAAAACCTTCTGGAAAAAAAGAGCGTCGGTTTGGATTTTTGACAGAAATAAGTTAGAAGAATCTCTATTACAGATTAGAAAAATCAGGATATGGTCTGAAAAAGTCTGAAAATTAAGAGTATTAAGTTGGTAACCGCATTAAAAAGAAAAATACTACAAATTGTTTTACAAAATGCTTGTTTTTAAGAAGATAGTTAAATGGACAACGATTAAAACAACTAATTGAAGATTAGATGTATCTGAGATAAAAATGACAAAATGGTAGTTCACGAAAATCATATCGATGATCCTAATGGATGACAAAATAATTTAAAAAAGTAATAGTTTTCAGTACCTTAAATTGGTATTACATAATGATGGGAAAATAGATAAGGATACATACAGTAGATTTAGAGCTTGTTGAAGAAATTCAAGGAGGCAAGTGGTGTAGGGAATTCTACAAAACTTCCATATACCAACCAGAAAGATGAAAGTAAATGTTGTTTAGTTAAATATAAACAGGAACGACGATTGCATATGCCAGCAATGTGAATGCTTAAATGGATGAGTATAGTGATAAAAAAGGTAAATATATAATTCAATACTCAACTGATCCATCAATACTGATGGATCAACTCGCTCAATCATGGCTCAACTAAATCAGGCTCAAACAGACCTGATCATCAACTAACTGGAACAAGCCGAACAAGTAGGGCAAACGCCCCATTAAAGATCCAAAGATATCACAAGATATGTATTGTCATCTTCTTCTTTAAGTTCAGCTCCTATTGGAGATTGGAAATCATTCTGGCAATTATAATTTACAAAATACAAAACATACAAAAGGGTGGATAAAATATAACATCAAAGCATTCTTATCCGGAGTGATATATTGATATCGCGATTATAAAAAAGTTTTCTCATTCTATTAAAAGTTGACCGTGCAATTTCAATGCGGCATCTTATTTTTTTTGCCTGATCAGTATTTTTTGCCTTCTGTGATCCATGCTCCAAGGTATTTGTACGAAGATATTTGTTCAATTTCTGTATTATCTAGTACTAGCTTAACTTTGATGTTTTGTGCTTTTGTAAATACCATGAACTTGGTTTTCTTCAAATTTATTTTTAGTCCATAATCATTGCAATATGTATTTAGTTGTTCTCAGCAAGGTGTTGCAATGTCATGTGGAATGTCAAAGCAGAAAAATTCCACAATTCTAGATAGGAGATGAAGAGAATGTATATTGAAACCATTGGAATATCAGAAATATGAACCAGATTTTTAAGAAACATAAGTGGAAGATTTCAAGGTACATCTAGGAAAAAAGTGATGGATTACACAAATATGGAGTAATCTTATCAACAAAGATTGCCAAATGCATTACTAACTGTACACCAATATCAAAGAGAGTGATGTTAGTATAAGTAAAAGACAACCCTATCAGTATAAACATCATACAAGTATATGTGTTCACTGCAAACTAAGAGGAGGAGGAAGGAATTGAGTTTTATCAGTAAATCAACAGAATCCTACAGAAAATTATTCCATGGAAGGTATTACAATATAAGATTATTGGTAGGCCATGTTTGTGAAGGCCATTGATATTGGTGTGACTCAAGATTCCGATTCCGTTAGGTCTAAAGGCAGAGAGAATGATAACATATTTTAATATTATTTTCTACAGATAAACTTTTTTTAAGTTCTTATATTTTGATTATTCCTGTTTAGTGAATTCATGATATTGTTACACAAAACATTCTTCTTCTTCATGTACCACGTCATTTCAGAACCTTGGTTACCATCATAGCTATCTTAATTTTATTCACTGCCACCCTAAATAACATGATTGTATCAACACCATACCAATCTCACAAGTTCTTCAACCATGAGATTCTTCTTCGTCCTGGACTGCGTTTGTCTGCTATTTTTCCTTGCATGAGACACAAAATATTAGAAAGACAATTTAAGAAAATTTATGTTTAAAAAATGGCGGATGCATCTGTAGCAAATTTTGTCATTAACGTTACAAGAATATTCTTTAAAAAATGGCGAATGCTCTGTCACTATTCTGGTGGAGTCTCCTCTATTACGAATTGTCGAATTTCAGAAATTCTTGACTAGGAGCTAATTGAACTAAGATATATTAACGTTAAACTGATAACTATAATAGTATAACTTTTTTTACTCCATAAAGAGTGTCGGGCAAAATCTAGAGCTCTCAATAAAGGATTAGGCAAAATCATACAACAAAGATGACATCTAAAATTCAGTAAGCTAATCTAAAAACAGTAGTTAAAAACTACTAACAATATAGAATGGGATATGGTAAATTTGAAATAAATAACAAGATACTTAAGTCCAAGTTACATCGATATTAAAATTTAAATTAATTGTAAGTCGATAGACAGTAAAAAATTATTAAAGATTCCAAAGGAGGCACTACCAATTTTTTTTATGCTCTACATCTGATTTTATTAAAGTTATATCCTAAAACTAATCTTAAGATCATTTAAAAGGGCCAAAAGGTGTGAGAAAAATTGTTGCTAGTCAAAACTATCAAGTAGATAGTTGCAACGGAAAATTTGTTTTTTTTAACGTTTGACTGATATATTACTGGGTTTTTCTAACACTGTTTACGTTTCTTAGTGGTTTTTAAGGTCCCTTAAATGCATAAAACGTTTTCTATAAAATAATGTCCTATTGTTGGCCGATAATACCATCTAAGGAGAATTTAAGAACTATTAACTTTTGTATTAAATTATAATTAAGACATGAAATAATATTAATGAAAATTACTAAGAGAATCATATAATTTTAAGAAAATATATTGGCATATACAGGGTGATTGATTAGTGTGAGGAAGCTCAGTAGATCTGTTATAGTAAAAATTACAAAAAAAAGTTATTAACAAAAATTGTAGGCAGCTTTAAACTCCATATTTTAAAATTAGTTACAATCCTACAGGGTGTTCCATAAGATGGTGGCAGACCAAACTTATGTTTTTTTAAATGAAACACCCTGTATTTTATTTTAAATTTGAAATTTGCTTCACTTCCACATTACAACAATGTAAAGTTTTATTATGTTATACCGGGTATTTAAAAAGTTATAACCAATATTACCTGAAAATCGTATCAAGTTTAACTCCCTGTATAATTAAAAAGGATTGTAGGAACATTGATCTATTGCAACCATAGTTTTTTAATAATTGTTAAAAACTATAAAACATATTCATTTTCATAATATTCGTTAAATCAAATACAGGGTAAGTCAAAATGCAAGTACATTATTTTCTTGGTAATTTTAAATAGAATACCTTGTATTTTATATCACTATCGAAAGAACTAATATTGTACTTCATATTTTATGAAGTACTCCCTATACCTAAAGTTATTAGTTTTAAAGATATTTTTATTTTTCCATCAAAGTATTAATTTGGTAGATATTTTAACGTTTACCAATAATTATTGTGAGTTGGCCATGATTGATTTGTCAGAAACTGACAGTTTGACATTAATATTTATTAATTCAGTATTGGGGTACACCGTAAATTAGCAACAATTATTATTTAGTAATTCAGTAATTGATTCAATTTAAATTAGCAATAATGAATTTTACTACTGATGAAATGGTAGATATGATCTGGATATTGGGGGAATGCAATAAAAATTCATTACTATCAGCTAGAATTTATCAAGAACGGTTTGCAGATAGGCGACAACCTAGACAAGATACATTTGAAAAATTGAAAGATCGATTTAACCGCACTGGTTCAGTGAATTATGAAAAACATGAACGAACAAAAACTAGTGTGACAGAGGAAAACGAAATGAGTGTGTTGATGGCGGTTACAGAAAACCCACACACAAGCATAAGGATTATTTCCAATGAACAAGAACTTAGTTACTACTCTGTTCAAAACATTCTATCTAAAAACAAGATGCACCCTTATCATATTCAAAAGCA